TCCATACAAAATTTGACATTGACATTTCGGTTTGCAAACTATTCGAATTCGATAATGGTTCGTGCTAGGTGTACTGAAGCTGGCTGTCATTATATTATATAGAGTACTAAAGATGGTCGTGCAACACCAGCTGCCATTACCTTTTATTCTATTCTTGCAACTAATTTACCGCAGTAATAAACTAAAATTTAGCTGAAAACTGAGAAGTCCGAAAGTAGGTACCGACTCCCTGTCTGTTATAGTAAAATTTGGCTTAATATCACAAAAGTCGATATTGAACTGCCGACGCGCGTTAGGTAAACTTAATCGGAGTTTTGCTTTATATTTTGTTTCAGATCACACATCTCCGCAAAGTACACACTTCTAAACTTCGTGAGACCTATATTCCAGTAAGGAAAAGTTTTCGGCAGTTTCTCTTTTACTGTAAGTAACGGAGACCCGTCCGTATTGGTAATCTTTGGATTGGCTTTACCAGGTTTCCGATGGCGGTTTGCGGACCGATCAAGCTAGGAAACTCAATTTGAGACTGAACATTGGCAAAGGTTGAGTTGCTACTAAGTTCAATCGGTATCCCAAACTTTGCTGTTCTTCAGTGTTTTGGTGATTACAAATTCAGAGTGTGTGAGCGTGGGATATCGTTCTCGATATGATTGCTTAACTTGTTGCTTGCCCACATATCTTTGAGGATGCAGTGTATTCTATTTCTGAAGTGGTCGTAGTCCATCGTTTGAGAATGCAATATCGCACTAAATGGACCAATTTCAAACTGCGCCGAAGCTTTAAGGACATGTAAGCGAGGCAGTATATATGTATTCACAGAACGTAGAATTTGTGGCAATATTGAATTAACGTTCTCTTTATTGAATGATGTTCATTTACACATCATCGTATTTATTAATAATAACTTTCGATGGAATTTAAAAAATTTTGAAACCTCTAAATTAGTATAAAATATACCACATATTTCTTCCTTAGTGTGTAATAATACCCAAAAGGTTCACGAATAGGGAATCATCTATAATAAACTAAATGTGATTAAGGTACATACGAACAGAATAACTCGAAAAGTTTATAAGTATATATACTCAGTATGTTTATGGGATTACAAATAAATGTTACTGCGCGATACAATCTAAGAGCTCAACATTTATATCCCAAAATCGCCAAACAGTCGTAAGCCCAAATAAATTGATGAAAATATAAGTGTATTATTGTTCAATCACGTCCATATGACAACTCGTTTATTCCTAAGGGAATTGTATGGGATTGGATTCATTTTATCAACAAAAGCTTTGTGTTATTGATTTCATGATTAATGCAGAGCCGGGGTGTGATATGAAGGCGTGTTGCGCGTTTCAATATGTAACAGTTGTAGGTATATTTTATATTAGTGGCCCGCCCTCGCTTCGCTTGGGTGTAGTGTAGACTATTATTTTCTTTTCAGGCTTGAATTATATATACACAATGAATTTCTTTATATAATTGTAACCTTCCATAAAAAAAATAACTGATAGTAAAAATTTTGTTGCGTTGATTAGGACCCGTTTAGTTGTGCACCATTTTTTTTGGCAGAACGCGCAAATCTCACTACTAATGGTCCGATTTGAAAAAATCTTTTTATGTTAGATAGTGCATATAGTGAAGAAGGATTAAGGCTATATAATTAGATGATCAAACGAACTTACCTGAAGTGAAGTTCGATCTTAATTATCCTGACGTCGTCGAAGAGATTTATTCTTAACAAGTAGTAGGCCCTCTACGCTGTATTCCTTCGCACGAGCTATTCACAGTTATATTAAAAAAAAAGTTATAGCTGTCAGTTTCCACCGTTTACTTGTTGTGCCCGCTCGACACTGATATCATTTTTTTAGAGAAATAAACAGCAACATTGTCAAGGGGTGATAAGAGTGAGAAAAATAAACATCAAAATCGGGATGGGTGGGACATTAAATCTCTTCGACGAAGTCAGGATAATTAAGATCGAACTTCACTTCAGGTAATTTCGTTTGATCATCTAATTATCCTGACTTCGTCTCTGAGATATATTCTTAACAAGTAGATGTTTAGATTTTTATCAATGTTGCTGTTGTTATTAATAAATAAAGGTAAACAAAGAAAAACCACTTGATGTGTACCTCATTTGTGTTTATTATTTTTAACATATTATTAACAAACAAATCAACAATTATTTAACAAATTTCTAGATGTATTAACAATTGACCTGTTATAAAAATTTGCAAAGACCTGATTGAACAGACCAACCAGCAGCTCTTCTAATTACATCAATACTTACTCCAGCCCTAAAAGCAGTTGAAGTAGCGGCATGTCTCGTACTGTGAGCACTGTATACAGATATATCAATACCACTATCTTTTAAAGTCGACTTTAACCAACGCCCAATACTTTGAGATGATAATAATAAATAATAATAATAAATAAATATTTCCAACACTCACACCAATTAGCCTAGCCCCAAAGTAAGCACTGTAAGGCTTGTGTTATGGGATACTAGGGTAACGGATAGAATACATATACTGTACATATATAAGCATATTTATATAGAAATACATATTAAACATCCATGACTGGAGTACAAATGCTCGTACTCATCACACAAACATCTGCCCCCACCGGGATTCGAACCCGGGACCTCTCGAGTCGGCGACACCATGAAACCCGGCGTACAAACCACTCGGCCACGGAGGTCGTCAAATGATGCGGCTTTATAAGGTCTTTTATATGTCAAAATTAAACGATCTTCATTCTCAGGTCTAAGTGAAGAAGAAGCTTCAATATATAATTGAATAGCAGCAGCTGGACAGATGCTAGGCTTATGATGGAAAAAAGGTAAATTTAATATAGGTTGAGTTCGCCCTATACCTGATGATTTAATTAAATCAGTTATTTGTATTATCAAGCGATCATTATAAAACTGTATATTTGATATTTTTATTAAAGAAAGTGTTTGCGGTCTTTGTCCAGTAGCTAAGGCCAGTAACATTATCATTTTTTTTTGTTAAAACTTCTAAGTTAACGAACTCATTCGAAATATTGGCAACACAATAACAGGATCCCAAGTTACATTATAACGAGGGAAGCAAGGTTTTAACTTAAAAATACCTTTAAAGAATCGCTTAATTTTATCATCATGGCTAATATTATTAGAGGAAATCAAAGAAATAGCTAATCTATGATTATTTAGGGTTCCATAGCTTGAACCCGAATCGAAACTTATCGTAAGGAAATTTAATAATGAATTTATATTAACTTGGTAAAAATCACAGTTGTTTTCATAACAATGAGTCCACCAGCGTTTAAGGCTGGAATTATACTGATTTAAAGTATTTTGCGACAAGGAAGTGAACATAACTGTTATTGCGGATTCAGGGACCCCTTGTCTTCTAAAACCTTCCCGGATAACACACACTGCCAGGGAAAGATGACGAGCTAACGGGTGAGTCGAACTGAAAGTAGAAGAAAGGACACTTATCAGGAGGAAATATTAAAATTTTGGATATAGATAAAGACTGAAAGAGAGGGTACCAAGGCTGGGTAGACCATAGAGGCACGACAACAATCCCTGTTGCTTTATCCGTTATGACTTTATTTATGACTTTTAAAATAAGTGAAAATGGGGGAAACGCGTAAAAAAATCGGCAGACCAATCTATAGTAAAAGCATCTATTTCATAGGCATAGGGATCTCTCTTCCAGGATATATATTTCGAACACTTAGCATTCACCCGAGATGCAAAGAGGTGTATTTTTGGTGATCCGAATGAACGTATTATTTTTGAAAACGCATAAGTCGCTAGCTCCCATTCTATATCCAAATTAACTTTCCTAGATTCAATGTCTGCTTCGGTATTAAGAGAAGATTTAATATACGAAGCAAATATATATATGTTCTTTTTTTTCACAGCACTTCCAAATTGTGTTTGCAACTTTATTTAAGTGTGGGTATTGAACGCCCCCCATTCTATTTACATAAGAAATTGCTGTTGTGTTATCTATACGTAATAGTATGTTACAATTACTTTTGTTTCCAGCAAACGATTTTAATCCAAAATAAACGGCAAGTAACTCTAGGTAATTAATATGATTAGATGCTTCAGTTACAGTCCACAAACCACCTGTTTTTTCACCGTTACAAGCAGCGCCCCATCCAGTAGTGGAAGCGTCAGTGAAAATTTCTAAAATATATATATTATTCTGTATATGATTAAAAGTTACTGGAATTTGCGTTTTCCACCAAAATAGGTCATCAGATAGGTTGGCTGGAATTGCCATGAAAGAGTCATAGTTATTATTATTCTTCAAAAGAGCTAAATATTTAGCCTTTTCAAGTGATTTCGTATATAGCCAGCCATAAGCGACAGCTGGACATGCTGCCGTAAGAGAACCGACAATACGAGCAAAATCACGTATACGCAGGTATTTCGAAGCTGAAATTTTTTCTAAACTGTATAAAGTTTTTCCTCTTTTTCCATTAGGTAGTTGTAAGGTCATTGTTACCGAATTAATTTCAAAACCTAGAAACTTACTTATAGTTTTTGGATCTAAATTGTTCTTTTTATAGTTAATAACCAAACCTAACCTTGTTAAACATTCTATGGTATTATTAACGTTAAATAACGTTAACAGTCACTTTTAGAATCACCTATCAAAAGAAAATCGTCTAAGTATCTTACAGATCTGATGCCACGTGACCTCAAATGAGACATTACAGGCATTAACAGTTTATTGAAAATGTAAGGGGCTGAACACAGACCAAAAGGGAGTACAGTAAACTCGTACAAACCTTCAAAATAAAATCTCAAATATTTTCTTTGACTCCTATGAATAGGGATCAAAAAATATGCATCTTTTAAATCAACATTAGCCATAAAATTATTTTCTCTAATAAGATTGGCCACAGTTCTAATATCTTCCATATTAAAATGATTTTTTTCTACATAATTATTAAGTTTTTTTAGATTTAAAATGAATCGCATACTTCCGTCACTCTTGGGAACCAGAAATAAATTGACCGCTTACGGGTTTACATTTTTTTATAGCTTTTATACTTAATAAATGTTGTACCTCTCTTTTTATAGCTAGTGATTCACCAGTAGAAAAAGATCGTATCGAAATCTCATTCTCTTTTTGTTGCGGTAAAGTAGCAAAAGGAATATGATATCCTGAAACGATATTTAGTATAAACTTATCATTTGTAATTGCAACAACGCCAGGCCGGTAGAAAATATTTCAAACGACCGGAATGTACGTACATGTACCTGATTTCGTATAATTACTTCTGTTGGCGGTCGATCACTGCACGTGTCCGTTGTGCTGGCTGGCGCCGCTGTAGGGGTAGGGGCGCCGGTGGCTGGCAGCGAAGGGGAGTTTGTACTGGAGGCGGCGAGGGCAAACCGCGCCGGCGACTCGGATACGTTGCTCGCTGCCCACCCACTCGCTGTTGGTACACTTGGTTGCTCCAATGCTGTCGTGGTCGAGTCGGTGGGCCGTTGTAGTTTAAAGACGAGCTAGAAGTAGATGGCGTGGCTTGAATAAGTTGACTTGTCTTCCTAATCCCTTGAGAATTTTTCATGACCTCATCCAGGCCTTCTCCAAATAGGAAACTGTCTCTATTTCGGGTTTTGAGGAGGAATGACTTTTCCACTAGTGGAATAATTACGGAACGGCGCGTTTCAGTTTCGGCATAATGGGAATCTGCGATAAGCTTTCCTGCGCCATTCAAAGTACGAATACGATATCTGAGGATTCTTCTTTACTAGGGCTGTCATAGCCTCACCTAGTGCAGACAATGCTCTGCCTAACTGGTCCTGTTTGCCAAGTAAACGCTTATCACGCAAACGGTAGGTTTCGGCGAGCATGGCTTGAATTTCTGGATTAAGAGTGGGTGCTTTGGTAAAAGGTACATTTTTTGGAAAAAAATATTTTTTATTGAGTTGTTCCTTTACCTCTTTCTTTAAGCCGTTTGTTAAAATTTGTTAAAAAATACTGGCTATATCAATATGTAAACTATCACCAAAATTCGCAGATTCGGGTTCAACGCCACCGAGAGCTTGCAATAGATCAGGGTCAAAATCATCGATACTAATCTCGTCCTTATCAGTAAAAACCGCATTCGCGTCTTTAGATAATTCAGATTCGTTAATACAAACGTCACCACTAGTCATTGTAATATCAGCGAGATCTTGATGTTCTGAAAATAATAAAATATTTTTTAAGTGGGTAGATTATTTTTTCCTTTTATAGGATTTTAATGAACTAATACTAATATGCACATAGGAGCCGGAGCTTAAAGCGTTTCAATAATAAAATGGGCAAACACGTAACTTTTAAGTTTTATTACGTAACTTAAGGTTAAGCATTTTTTGACCATAGCATCGCGCTAATTAGCAAGCGATTAAAATAGTCCCGAAGAATTCAACGGGACAGTAAAATATTCTCGAAGAAACCAACGAGAAAAAAATAATAATAATAAGCTCAGTTGCAATAAACACCTTCAGGTTGTACATCATCGTCGTCACTTAAATAAATAATTCGCTGACTATTGCGTTTCCGGGTTTCTTGTAACTTTATTTCATTTTTTCTTAATTTCCTTGACCACCGTTCTTCTTTAGACTCGTCACACTTACGTTTCGACATAATAATAACTACTTGGAGCTGCCTCTTAATGCTCGTGCTGTCGGCACGCGCGCACGGACAAGAATGATATCAGTGTCGAGCGGGCACACCAAGTAAACGGGGGAAAATGACAGCTATAACTTTTTTTTTAATATAACTGTGAATAGCTCGTGCGAAGGAATACAGCGTAGAGGGCCTACTACTTGTTAAGAATAAATCTCAGAGACGAAGTCAGGATAATATTACGCTGCAACCAGTAGGAGCGGATTATCAATGTTAAATGTTCCGAAAACGAGTCAATATATTCCATTTGGTGGTAAATGATTAAAGTTACACAAAAAACATGTATTACGAAATTATTCCTCTTTTAAAGTTTTATAGAAAAGTCCACGACGGCATATGCCCATCTTTTGACTCACTATAACATTTTTCCTCAAATGAACGCGGACGAAACCGCAGCGGACCTTTAGTTGTGACATAACTGTAATAGTTAGAATTGTTTTTCACATCCTGGGTTACATTATCGACATTTTCATACGGATCCCTAACATTTTGAAAATACCTTCTCTATAGCCTATGTCCATCAGGGATAATGACGACCTCCGTGGCCGAGTGGTTTATGCGCCGGGTTTCATAGCGTCGCCGACTCGAGAGGTCCCGGGTTCGAATCCCGGTGGGGGCAGATGTTTGTGTGATGAATACGAGCATTTGTACTCCAGTCATGGATGTTTAATATATAAATATACTTATATATGTACAATATATGTATTCTATCCGTTACCCTAGTATCCCTTAACACAAGCCTTTACAGTGCTTACTTTGGGGCTAGGCTAATTGGTGTGAGTGTTGGAAATATTTATTATTTATTTATTAATGTAGGATTCTAAATGTGAAAGATTTTTTCAAATCGGTCAGTTTCGGAGCCTATTCAATACAAACAAACAAGCAAACAATGAAATTTTTCCTCCTTTTAATATTAGTATAGATAATAAAATGTGGTTCGTGGAATTATTTGACGTTCGAAACCTTTTTTGGTCCCTATATATAATAATAAGACTGAATCTTATTCTTTATGAAGATACTGATTACTCTTTACATGATTATACCTCGTTTAAGGGAATGATTGCCGGCAACGCGAGGGGCAGCGGCATGGGCATAGTCTAAACGAGGTATTGTATTATCTATGTCTTCGTCAGTAATAGAATAAAACATTCCGTCAATTTGACAAGCATTAAAATTAATTGACGCTCTGAGTGCGGTGGCTTATAAAGATACGTACTTTCATGATATGGGCTTTATAACTCATTAAAAAGTGTTTCTTGAAGTAGTAGTACAGTCGGATTTAATTTATCAGTACCTTTAGTAAATTATGTTTCTATGTCCATTTTGGTAAAAAGTAACCAAATATACTTAAAATTTAAGAAGACGCAAATAATTTATTTAATGATAGAATTTAAACACTGTTTTGAATTGAAACGAAATCAATAAAATTAATACCCTTAGTACGAGTGCGAAAACTATCATACTTTTCGTAATTGTAAAACTCGTACTAAGGGTACAGTTTATTTTTAGCACGGGACGAACGTATTTTTTTTAATTCTAGCTATAAATATTAGCAAGCATGACTTGGGAACAAATGTTGGGGTTCTTAAGACAAACAATTACACCACTCGCCAAAACTCAAACCCAGGATCATTGGAGCAGACAAAAAGCCGGAGAGGCATGCGCCATTGCCACAGAATATATACACTACCATTGCGTCATTCGCTCGTCCGATGTGATCGATCGTGTACGTAATCAGAAACGTCAAAGGACATGGTAAATTTTTGTATGAGAGACTGCCTTAGCAATGTATAAATATTGTAATTAGTAATATTTAATGCTGAATATTTACAATTTCTATAAAAAACGGCTTAGGAACTTTTGATAGCGTCACAATCTTGAAAATTATGAAAATTCCTATTACCGTATAATTATGAAAATTCCTATTACCATATATTAGGTGCCAATTATTTACATAGTCATCAATTTTGTATTTTCTTAGAATCTTTCCTCCCATTTCTCTGATTAACACTTCACAAAAAGTGTTTATAAAGCAAAAATAAATACAAATAACATAATTTGTTGTCGTGGACACGGGTCCACGGGGACGTGGACAGGAAATCTGTGAAGTTTTATTTCGTTCATTTGCAAAAATCAAAGGATTAATTATCATACAGCCTTGTCTGTAGCCCGATCAGAAAAATAAAATCTATTTCACGAAAGTTGTATGACAATAATAAACACGTTAAAATTAATAAAATAATATTATAATGTTTTGGGCTAGTGCGAAATAATTATAAATGTTAAGGGCAGTTTCTCAGCCATGGCCTTTGTTAGTTCTCAACTCTATAGGTGCGTTTTTATTGGTCGATAATATCGGATGCTTTAATGCGCCCTACTTCTATTGCGTCGTTATTATCGTAGTAGTGTGTAGCGTAACTTCGTAGCCATTTTTAATACATCATGTACTAAAAACAGATAACGCATCCAATATTAGCGACCGACTTGTTGTCTCATTCTTTTGTCGTCATATAGAATCCGTGACAACAGTGACTTTAGTCAAACTTAAAACTTTTTTGAGTACCGTGGCAAGTCATGTTTGCATCACTGCCCTATATGTAATGTATGTGCCGTTATGTGCAACGTAGCCATCATAATCATTAAAAATCCAACCTTCCGTTGAATGTTGGCATTTAGTTAAATGTGACCGCGGTCATTAGAGAAATGCTTTTAGTTTCCCTCCCACTAATGGCGCATTGGGTAGACACGTCATTAAACATACTATCTGTAACGAATGCAATTACCAGTTTAATACGGTACTAATCAAAATGTCCGTTCTAAAACATGCTCTCCGGTCTCCATTTGCTTATCAACTTTCTAAAGATTATAGTTTAGGTATGACATATTCACAAACATATCTTTTAAATGAAAAGAAAACTCTACAGGAACCTCTAGCAACCTGCTGGAATACCTGTTTGAATAGAAATAGACCAAGTATTATGCCCGGAGGAATTTGATGGTGCCACAGGATGGTGCTGTGGTTAAGTTGTTCAGTCTGGGATCGTGGGAGATAAAGAACTTCCGCGATAGCTATCCATAGCGAAGGCTTGCGTCCCAGAAGCGCAGAAATTATGTCTTTTGTTGGTCAATTTAGGCTTCCATTTTCTTGCATAAGTTTCAAATAAAATGTTTTTTGTTCGTTGTAACAGCTTATAATGACAGTCCCATTACATCACATTCACACACACACGCACACAAACACAAAATATTCCGCTCTAATTGGAGCGCCCGTCTGGAGAAGTAAATTTCACCTTATAGGAGATCACAAATAACACCACCTTTCAGTGGTGTTGTATTACTGTCGGTAAGTAAAGATTCAGCAGGGCTCTACGGGACTGGAGATTGGGTCCGGGTAGGCAACAGTGCTAGTGATATTTTTAGTGTCCCAAGCAAGTTAAGAGGCTATGATGGCCGCTTCTTACCAGGCGGGTTTTAATATTATAATACGATAAAATAAAATATTACTATGTTTCGTTCAATATATTGAAAGTCAATAACCTTTCAAATTGTATTGTTTTCGTCTTACGAATTTTCGATTAGGTTACGTGTCCGAACGCGATCAGACCACGTGTCATGACGCGATCAGGCTACGAGTCCTAACGCGCGTTTAACAGTTTTTACCCATTACAAAAAAGTGTACAACGATGCTAAAGAAGTTTTCGCTTCAAAAAATATCACTAAATCGCATTAATTTATAAATCACATACCAATAGAATAGATTGCCGGAATCGTTTATTTTTGTATATACTTATCTACAAACGTATAGTTCTGTTAATTAGATTTGTGTGCTTCAAGTGTAAAGGCAAGTGATTAATTAAAAACTGAAGGCCAAGTTGTTACCATTTCCGGGCTTCATTTATCCGGTTTCAGCAGACAATCAACGCGGACTGTTTGCTGTTTTCAAACATACTTATCTATAACATTTTCATTGACTGTTTAACTGGCAATGCTCGGATCCAAAGTATCTGAATTGTTCAACTGTGATTACTTAATTATAAACAACAATAATAGGTATAATTAATAAGTTTTATTTGCATAAATACCATATAAGTAGTAGTAATTGGCAGGTCTTATATTAATCTACTTACTTTCTATATATCACTACAGTTGCTTTGCGGTTTCACCCGCATTTATTACAGAAAAAAGGTTAGAGAGGGCCACCCTTAATAGATAGATATATTTTTATGTTGTCGCGGATTTTTTATTTTACCTTTTAAAGGTTAAATAAAAAATCCGAGAGCATGAACAAAAAAACAAAAAATCATGTATGGCGACATGATTTTCGTTTTTTTGCGTTTACAGCGCACGTAACCTAAGCTCTCAAATAGAATATTTTTTTCCATTTTGAAACATTTTTCACTGGTACTCCGCTTCTTTTAGTCTTAAAGTTATGTTATGTAGCCTATATAGCTCTTTGATAATTGCACTATCTAACACAAAAATATTATTTTTAATAGGCCCAGATGAGATGAACGCGTTTAACCAAACAAACAAACTCTTCAGCTTTATAAAATTAGTTTAAATAGATTATTGCGTCGCAATAGTGTAGGATATTGTAACGATTAATACGGAGGTAAATATTTTTGGTATTGCTACTAGCAACGGTTGGCATTGGTGAGCTTACGTATTCCGTAGAAATAGCTACGTGAATTCGCGCTCGACTGGCTGTGGCCATATGAGTAAAGTAGGCACAGAGGCAAAGGTTCATGCAGTGCCCTTGTGCCAGTGAAGCACTGGTGGTCTGTCGCATACACGCAAAGAAACGTTTCTATTGGCAGCTACGGGCCAGTGCTCACTCCACACGCGCACTGAATATAGCCATAAAATAGAAAGCACAGGGAAGGTAATCTACGTACACATAGACACCGCTCAGGGACGCGATATCTCGGACCGTTTGGGACCACTGCGTGCGCGAATTCCCTTCGCTTGAGACACTCGTCTGTGAATTGTTTTGTGCAAAAA